CTTTTCAAAGAATCAACCTACAATGGTTAGGAGTATAGTATAATAGGCCCTACTAACAAAATTATACTATATTTTTTTGCTCCACTTTTTTCCATGATCAGGATTTATGATTGTGCCACTGTTTTTACAATAAAGTTTTATTTAAAATGTTTATAGTATTTAATTGTGGATTCCTGTAAAACATTACACAGCAGTAGCCCTAATGTAATAAGTGGGTAGGAAATTATACAGTTACACACAGATGCAGTTTTTAATCTTTCTATACTATGTGTGTGTATATATGAACACACAGGTGACAGGTGGTTCAGCGGAGTTGTACACAATTTGCTCTTTCTTAGAGAGGCCACATTTCGACCACCAGTAAATCTTAATTATTGAGATTCGGTTACCAGGTCTTCTACACGTCTTCCATGAAACATTACAAACTGTCAGTAAGGCCTCCAGCAAACGCAGCGGAGAATCCTGGACCCTCTTTATGAATATGAAGTCGCTACTCTGATTTTAAATGAAGTTTGTACAGTCATTTTAATCTAAAGGGATTTTTACCCTTTTGTGGTATAGGTAACGTATGAAATCACAACCACTAGCATATTATCCACAATAATTACTCAATTGAAGGTCTACACACACTGATAGAAAATCTTCAGATTTACAATGGAAAGTGCATGACATAAAAAACAAAAACATCTACATACCAGCCACTGAGATGCCACACAAATCCATCAAAATGAAAACCAGCACATATCCTTCAAAAATCCTCCACATTTTACCCCTCAGACTCAAGGAATTGAGAGGATGATCCCAAGATGATTGAGATCAGGAGACATTACTCATCCTTCCTCATGCATGAACCGCATGAGTTAAAGCTTTCCGACAAGCGGCACGGAGTGATGACCTCATGCAGAAGGTAAAATTACAAACTTTGACAGCGTTTAATCAGGTCCAGCAAGATGCTGTCATTACCTGGGGCTGTGGCCGAATCCATGCAGTGAATGACCTAGCTGAGTTCCTTGGTCGACTTTCTGTCTGTCTTGTCGATATTGAGCAAGATCTTGATGGTGTCAAGAGTTGAGTTGATGGCAGCACGTTCTCTGGCATCCAGAACAGAATGATATTCTGTATATCACATAACTTTCCATCTTAACATTTTGGAAAACTCAAAAAGCACAAAATTCCATAAATCTTTGTATACAGTACATGGTATAACTTGCATAATTTACACTGTGTCAGAGGATGCTGCAAATGCACCGATGTCATTAAGAACGGTATCACAAGACCACACGGTCACATTTTGCACACTAAGCTTTGACAAAGTGTTGTATTTGTCAAGAATGTGTAAGCAGCATATTTACATGCATTCATAATCTTGCACAACTCAACAATGTGTCCCTTTTGGGGTAGGGGCGTGTTTGTTTTGGTGATTTCAAATATCAACATTGGCTACCAGAAATCCCTTACTCTGCCTTTAAGGTCATGTAAAAAAATGTAAAAAACCAATATAAAAGTTTTCTTACAGGTTCTCAACTTATGGTTGTGCATGTAAACATTCAATGTAAAAAGGCCTATGTGTGATTATGCAACTTTGTGTGTGAAGGTATAGGTCCCGATCACACCAAGGACAGTAACTATAAGGGGGCATTCATGGGCCTTATCTCCTAAAACAAATGACTTTGCCCCCCTTCCCCTCCTCTTCCTGCGAAAGCGGAAAAATAAACGGGTGCATAGTTAAAGTGGGGAAATAGCAATTGCACTCTTTCGTGAGCATTAGCGACTGCACACAATTGCAGATTGCACGCTTCCCACCCGAAATAGAACAACATGCGCTGCTGTGAACGCTAATATAGTTAGCATTCTTGGGAACGGGCCTTATGTGTTTTTACTCGAAATTCATGAAAAATAACCTGAAACATTCTGACCTGTGAATGTCCATTTTTGTGTATTTGTGCTGTTAAAACACACACACACACCAAGCGGGTCGATGTTGCCCAGTGACTTTGCTCTCGCCTGACAGTCTGTCTCCCTCCCTCTCTCCCCTCTTCTCCGCTCTACTTCCCTCTCCGGCTTGCGGCAGTCTTTCATTCCGCTAACTGCCTCTCTCTCTCTACCTCTCATACTGATACTAGGCCGACAGGGTAAGTGTGACGTACATTGGCAGCGTTCGCAGGCTGCCTCGCATACACACACGCACGTTGAGCGTGACGTGCGCTGGCAGAATTTGCAGCCTGCCTCCTCGCTTATCAGAGCTGTCAATCACAGGCTGGTGACAGCGCCTGGCAGGCAGCGCCACGGGGAGCCCGACACGCAAATACACACACAAACGCTTGTTCCCAGCTGATCAACACTCGCGCTTCCCCTACAGACAGAGGCACACACATATATACGCACCGTAATGTACATACAACTCTTAGTATTTGCATAACAAGAGGTGCTTTTTACTAAACACACACAGTCCGTTCATAACGTCTGTCTTGGGTGGGAAAAAAACAACAACTGAAGAAATATATATGTGTTAAATAATATATATTTAAATAATATAATTTTAAAATATATAATAAATGTATAATAATAGTAATACATTTTTATGAATAATGTATACTATTTTATATAATTATATTAAATTAAGATATACAGTATAAAGTGTTAATATATATATATATATATATATATATA